TATAAATCACTATGAGTGAGAAGAAAGGACCCCTAGAACGAGGTTGATGAGGTTGAATGAACAACTAATCACATGCGAAGATCTGTGTATAGGCGCTGTATACACAACAAGTCGCGACTGAAGATGTTGAGTAAGCCACAACAACGGCCAAGTCTCTTGCTCACTGCTCTCGTTTCATATCGTAAAAACAAAGTAGAGTTTATCGTCGTAATCTACGTCATTTCACCAGCGTTACTGTGATTATTGTTTTTGCAGGAGATAATATAAACCAACCAAGATGTATAATGTTATGCCTGCTTATTAATAAATCTTTATCGGAGACATTCTTTTCTCTTATAGTTAGTCTCCCTTCTCAACAGTGGACGGTGCTTAATAAACTAAAATGTTATCCAAAGACTAACAAAAGAGAGACTTTTATCCGTCCATGTCAGTGAGGGTTATAATGTCTTGAAACGATGCTCAGAAGACGACAACACAATTAACCGTCCTCGCTTAATACCGGGTACTTCCGTTTTACTGATTCAGAATGAAACTGCTATATTTGCTGTGTATAGCAGACGCACTAGTAATTCAAACTCCAACGGCGGCACAAAGTCGAGGGCCACCCACGGGGGGCGGGGGGGGGGAGGGTCGGTATCAATTTCCCTCGATCCCTTCACAATTTCACTTTTTCTCCCTTGTTCCCTATTAATAAATTACACTGTTCCTTCAAAGTTTCTGTCAAAGTTCCCCTAATTGTATATAAATGCTTTGTTCCCTCAAATTAATCCCGTAGACATGCCTTGTTCCCCCAAAACCCTGCGAGGCCCTCAGAGTTCGATATTCCGTGCGGAACTTTTTGCGCTCAATTTATTATTATTATACACCCTATCACCGTTATCGATCAATCAAGACCCAATGTGCAACACATTTCATGTTGGAAACTGAACCAGGCTTAAGCATAGATTCCAACCCTCCCGATTTGATCGGGAGACTCCCGATCTGATGTGTTGCCTCCCGCTCTCCCGATTCTTATCAAATTCTCCCGATTTATAATAAAATTGTGAAAACAAGGGAAAAAATGCTAATCTTAAGTATTTTTTTGCGATGTATTATACTTTCCTCTCATATCATATCACCCAGTCTCTCGCCGTGTGTTATGCAGACTCATCAGGCCAGCAGTCTTACTCCATTTAGCAGCTCCAAAATGCAGGAAAAGGCATTTAAGAAAACCTAAATTTGCACAATTTCCCGGTGAGCATGGCCCCAGACCCCCCTAGAGGCTGCTGCCTTCGGCGCTAAAAGAGTCTCCCTATTTTCCTTCAAAAGGGGTTGGAATCTCTGCTTAAGGTAATTCGAAAGTTCATTCCTAAGTTCGAAACAGATATTGAATGTTCTTTCTTACTAAGCTATTAATAACAACAAGCAAAGTTCCAGCTGAAGTGGTTTTTACATCCCAATGCAAATAAAACTTTTTCACGGAGATCATGTCAGCGTTAATTGCACCATTCGTTCCAAAAAGTAGACGTGCAAATTTACTTCGGCAACCGTGTTACTAAGCAGGTTGATTTTTATCATTCAGAAAACACTTAGAGATCTTACTAAGCAAGAACGTTGAGCCAGATTGGATTTCAATGTGTCTTTGCATGTAAATAAAGGCCATCTCCATGAAATATTTCATTTCCCATCGCTCGACCGACCCAGCTTTATCGAAAATTTAAAAACAGAGACGTTTTTTATTCATTGCTTGCACCCATTTTTTCAATAATTCTGTTGTCCGCTTATATTTGGTGCTAATAAATTCGAATTAGAGTTGAAATATTAGCCCATCGACGGAATAACTTTCACGAGAGGGCGATCGATGGACTAAGCATCAGCTTTCTTGCGTTCAAAGTCTACAAACAACTGAACCAAACCTTCCTACAAATGAAATTATAAGCTTTTTCCTACCTTGATCTAACCTGGAGTTCGTTTAGGACACTTCTTTAAACGTTAACAAAATGGGATGAGGTAAAACGCATCAACATCACGCTTTTGATTTCTGCTTGTTTCACCAGCTTTCACGGAAGCTTCTAAAAGGATTCTGAGAAAAACAACTTCTTTGTGACGGGTTGCTGTACCGAGCCAATCAGAGAAGCTGAATTCATTCGCGTGACCCCCATGTAACGCAATCAGCAAGCGGAACACTTCTGAAGCGGCCATAAAAAAGTACATTTTCTGATGTACCTTCGAATAGGTAGAGACTTTAAGGAAACTAATCAGATAAAAAATACTGGGTTCTCTTTCTACATCAGTAGCAAGTGTAAGGCCTCAGTAGAATGTTACTGGTGAAGGCTCTGAAGTGCGACCAGCGAGGTGAAAGCTAACGGTCCTAAAGAGCAGTTATTTCCTCTGGTACTACTGTCATTGCATGACTATCCATGTACTTCATTTTAAATTTCACAGTTGAAATGAAAGTTACGGGTTGACTCTCACAGAGAGAAGCATTTTAAAGAAGCTTTCGTGTGTATTGGAGCAAGGTGACGAGGCTTTTCCTCGGAGTAAGACCATGAACTGCCTCACAGATCTGAGAGATTGACTAGCCTTTGAGTTACTAGTCTGCGAAAACGCTCTTGAAATGTTAGTTGGATTACAAAGTGCAAATCCGGAAAAATCCGGCTTGCATCGACCAATGCGTTGAAACAGCACATGATTTCCTTGAGTCTCCAAGGAAAGACTTTGGTTTGGAGAAGTTTAAGACCATTTTACAAGCACCTGATTTCCCTGATCTGACCCATTCCCACTCAGTTCGTTGATCGAAAATCGTCGTCGCCGAAATTTACTTGACTGCTTATAATTTCGTTTCTTTCTTTTCATGTGGAATATGAGATTCAAAAGAGCCTTAATAATGTTCAACAAAAAAAAAAACAAAAAAATAAAATAAAATAAAATAAATGAAAAAAAATGAAAAAAATAATAATGTTCAACCGTTTTCCCCAATATTGTGGTTTTTTTTTTTTTTTCTCATTTGTTTGGGATGAAAACTATTTCAGTATGGCGCAATTCATAACATGTAAAGGGAAGCTTCCTTAACAAACATTTTAAACTAGTTGTGCTTGTAGGAGGGCTAAAAACAGCGTTTTTTCCCAAATAAGTTTAATCAGTGGTAAGTCCAATGTAATGTGGAAAGCATTGTGTAGTCTATTCTTCACTGGAATTCTATGGCCTGAGAAAATAAAGCGCTCTGCTTTAAAACAAGAAACGGTAACAGCTCCAAGTGAGCAATCCTTCATGAGGAAAATATTTTGCCTTTAGTGTCTCGGCATATTTTAAGTCGCTGCAATATGACATCAGACTAAAACAATTTAAGAAACCCTGAGTTCAAAGTGGTAATAAGCCTATCGATGGAAAGTTCAAAGCAAAAAAGAAAACCTTAAGGGTTGAAAGAAACCCGGGGTACGTGGCTACAGTTTAACATCTATCAACAATTGAATGTCACTCATAATTATCATCGGCCAAGGGAGACTTGAAAGGCGTGTACTCATGAACTTTATAGCCTGTGCATTCAAAGAATGTTTTCGGTTAAATCCTGACTACCAAGCCATTCTACTCGTGATAGTTTTGTTATTTATCTCCGTGTTGTAGAAACCGTTTTGTGGGAGTTTTGAATTTCCTGCAGACTAGGAGATGGGGACCAAAGGAGGGAACCATCGGCGTTTTAAAAGGACTCCCCTGGCTAGCTCATTGAACTACTCAGGTGTAAGTTCGCTTGAGAAAAAACAATGAAAACAGTTTTTTTTCTCTCACACGTTTATTTGTCAATTCAACTCTTCATCTAACAAACCCAAACTTTAAGGCAAAATATATGAAATCGCGAATAATAAAAGTACACTCATGAAAACTAAATCAAACAGTTAAATTCAGTAGTACGTCGTTGTGCGATATTCATTTACAACTTAGCGTTGTTGTTCCATGAGAGCTTTTCGCTAACCGACTTCTTTTTCGTAATAGCTTTTTATGAGGACGTGGAGGCTAGTATTTGGCAAAGTGTTATGACTACGCTAAAACAGCCATCTCATGCTGAAAGTCAGTGAAAAACGTCTTTGTTTTTACATTTACAATGGTCAGTATTATAACGGGTAAAAAAACGCATAAAACTTTTGTGGATACATTCCTATTTACCCCCGGTTGAACATAAACAATCGGTGGTTTTGTTAACCTGTTTGTGTCTGAATGTCTTTGATTTAAAACTGTTGAAAACTTAAAACTATCCATAACGCCATGATGACCATGTTGGAAACCGCCACTCATCAAGCAGTTTTTCCTTACTTGGGAGCATCCTGACAACGTTTTACATTCAAATTGTCAAAAAAAGAAACCTGTTAAGCCTGTCCTCAGCCTCAAAATTGTTAAAGAAAAAGAAAACGATTAAATAGTGTATGATAAGTATTCAATGTAATGTAAATAATGCTTAGTGTAGGGGGCCATAGCAAAAAAAAAAGGAAAGAAAAAGAAAAAAATTAACTTAAGGTCGGTTATATAATGCACTGTAGCGTAATGTAATGTAAAGTACATGTAATACATTGCAATTTATTGTAAATTTTAAAAAAGCTACTTTTACATATAAGAAATAGGTACAAGGTTTCTGATTATATTTAAAGTAAATCAGTCGTGGACAAAAAATACAGAATACCACTATCGTAACTGTAGCATTTTATCTTAGCAAATATCTTTGCAATGCAAGTGACTTTTAATGTAATGAAGCGTAAGTGTTGACGAAATAGTAAAAAAACAATAAAAAAACAGTGCAATTAATTAAGCTCAATTAGTGATAACACTCATTTACTACCTATTCGCACATTTGTGTATACTACTGCACCTCACAGATTCTGGACTAGAAATTAAATTATTCATTTAGTAAATGATTATCGTGCTAAGCATCAATTTCTCACTAAACTTACTGAACAATAAAGCCTGTAACAAGTTCCAAAAACCAGTTATGGGCGGGCGAGCATGCTTAGTTTACATATGATACCAGCCGCTCATTTTGTAGAAACATGAATCTCCAAAGTAGCTTGACCATGGCTGGTCATAGAGCCGCGAAATTTACAACTAGTACCGAGGTCTCTTTCATGCCAACCATTTGCCTTGAAGGGGTTTGCGTCATAGTACAGATCGCTCCACATACTATGGCTGGCCTTTACATCTCCTCTGTAAAGCTCCACGTTCCACCAATTTTCGTACCAGAAATAATCATAAGGAACAGACCACATCACAGCAAGCGTTCTGTGGATGTTTGGAACGTAGTAGGTCAGGACTCCAACGGATCCCTTGAATCCACCAGTCTTGCGAGCTCCCCATACTACCGCTTTCCCTGTGGAAAAAGAAACAGATGAAAACAATAAGTAATGGTAATAGGACTAAGTGGAGTCCAATTCGGTCTGTTATCATAAGAG